CATCGGCATAGTCACGACTATGTCCTTCCATCTTAGAGATGGTGTCTTCGTGAGCCTCGATCATGTCATTGGCCTCACCAAGTTGTTCCAAGAGAGCAATAAAGTGCTTCTTGGATTTTCCCTTGAGTTTGCCCATAAAGGCCTCAAACTCGTTAGCCTCCACATTAGCTCCCTCAAATTCATTAATGCTATCCGTTGGGGAAGGATGATTAATGATGGTAGTTTTGATGTTGGAGGTTACCTTGTTGGTGGCTTTAGCCATGAGGCACTTGGCGGTGATGCTCTCGTTGGGTGAGTCAAAGATAGACACCCGTGACGTTGTTGCAATGGCAACGGAGGCCATGGCAACCGACTCATCATCTTCATCATCGTCATCATCCTCATTGTACTCTTCTTGCACAACCAAGGCCTTGGGATGAGTCTTCTTGGTGAAGTTGTTCTTGTTGGGGAACGACTTGGCCTTGTCCTTTCGGATGAGTTTGCCACCATTGTCTTCTCTCTTCTCATACAGGCATTCCGCAACGAAATGACTCACGTTGCCGCAATTGTAGCAAGTCCTTACACGTTGCCTGCCCCTTGTACCACTCGAGTTGTTTTTGCTAAAGTTTGGCCTTGAGTTTTTCTTGCTTCAAAATTGCCTTGAAGCAAGTGCCATGTGTTCATGATATGCATACTTCGTATCTTCGGGGTTGCTCTCCTCTTCTTCCTCTTCTTTGTCTTCCACTTTGAGCCTGGCCTTCAATGCAAGGTTAGGCTTCTTTATCCGTTGAGAAGGAGCACTGCATTGTTGGCGGTCTTGTCCAAAATGTTCATGGCCACAAACTCATCCAACACTTCGCTTGAGGTCAAAGTGTGGAAGTCCGGTCTTTGACGAATGACGGAGGACATGGCCTTGTGATAGGGCATCATTGCCTTGAGGAATTTGCGCTTGATCCAATTGTCATCCGTGTCCTTGCTCCCGTGATCTCGTAGTGAGACCGCGAGTTTGGTTACTCTCCGATAGAGCTCACGAGGTTCTTCATCTTCCTTCATTGCAAACTCATCGGCCTCATCTTGTACCACTTAATAGTTGGAGCGTTGAATGCTTGCGCTTCCCCGGTAGAGAGACACGACACAATGGCATGCATCTTTGGCCAAGGCGAAAGGACGAAGATGAGGTAGGTCTTCGGGTGGAATAGCATCTTGAATGATGAAGAGAGCATTCTCATTGAATTGGTTGTCCGCGGCTTCTCGAGGAGTGAAGTTGCTTGGATCATGTGGATAGAAACCTTCTTCAATGATTCTCCAAAGGTTAGTGTTCACATGATTTAAATGACGTTTAAAGCGGTAAACCCAAGAATCAAAATCCTCATTTTTCACAATCTTAGGAGGAGGACCGACATGATTCAAATGAGTGGAAGGAACCGGTCCACCATAAACAAGTGGTGGTTCCACATGGGCAAAGATGTCGGTGCCATTCTTGCCACTAGAAGAAGGAGCCTTTTCACTACTAGCTTCCCCCTTGTCGGGGATAGCATCCGTCACCTTGTTGGCGGGATCACCCACTTTCAATGGTGCGGTGGATAGTTTAAGCCCCTCAAGAAATTTAGTAAACATGCTTTCGACTTCGGTCGTCATGGAGGTTTTCAATGTCTCCAAGGCCACATTGAACTCCTCACGAGAGACCAAAGTTCCCCCATCCCCCGTAGACGAGATCGGATTCACACCGGAGTGTTCCTCCACACCGTCTACGGTATCAACCATACTCTTTGGACGGTAAAGTCCTTAATAAAGAGACGAGGCTCTGATACCAATTGAAAGGATCGATATGGTTGACTAGAGGGGGGGGTGAATAGGCAACTAACATTTTTTTGCTTTTCTTTAACAAGTTAAACTTTGCATCAAAATAGGTTGTCTAGAAATGCAACTAGGTGAGCAACCTATATGATGCAACGAGGATAGGTACACAAGCAAGCAAGAGATATGAAACAAGTAAGCTTGCTTAAATAAAGGCACGAGATAACCAAGAGTGGAGACGGTGGAGACGAGGATGTGTTGCCGAAGTTCCTTCCCTTTGAGAGGAAGTATGTCTCCGTTGGAGCGATGTGGAGGCACAATGCTCCCCAAGAAGCCACTAGGGCCACCGTATTCTCCTCACGCCCTCACACAATGCGAGATGCCGTGATTCCACTATTGGTGCGCTTGAAGGCGGCTACCAAACCTTTACAAACAAGGTTGGGGCTCTCTCCACAACTTAATTGGAGGCTCCCAACAAAACCACGAAGCTTCACCACAATGGAATATGGCTCCAAGATGACCTCAACCGTCTAGGGTGCTCAAACACCCAAAAGTAACAAAATCCACACAAGAAAGTATGGGGGAACCAAATATCCTTTGGTGGAAGTGTATATCTAGGTCTCCTCCTTCAATCCCTAGCAAATCAACAAGTTTGAGTGGCTAGAGAGAGAGATCGGGCAAGAGAGCTTGAAGGGCATCAATGGTGGAGTGAGATAGGTCAAAGGTAGGAGTGGTAGGTGGGAGAAGTCCCCTTAAGTAGTCTCCCCACAATTCCAACCGTTACTGCGTTTTTGCACTGCAGCGGTACAACCGGTCCTCGTCCCGGTACAACCCGGACTCACGGTGTAACAACAGAACCCTACCAAGCGGTACAACCGGACAGGCGGGCGGTAGTACCGGCTAAGAAAGATAACCGGACTAACCGCCTGGCTACCGCACAACCACCGCATCAAAACAGGAGCTTGACCGGTACTTGGGCGGTGCCTGGCCGGAACAACCGCATGGCCTTGAGCTCTTAGGCGGCTAAGTTCTGAGCGGAAGAACCGCTCGGACCACCGGTGGTACCGGTCATCGTGGAACGACCGGACCAACCGGGCCACTACCGCCCAAGAACAGCATCAAACCAGAGGCGAGAGCGGTACTTGAGCGGTACATGGACGGAACCACCGCCCTAGCTGTTGCAGAGCATGGTGGCGGTACCACCGCCCGGAGGCAGCGGTACAACCGCTCGAGCAAAAGCTGGTGAGCGACAAGACCCAGCGATACAACCGCTCCAGAGAGCGGTACAACCGCTGGGCAGAAACAGTGAGCAGGAAAGAGGGGAAGAGGCAAGGAAAACTCTCTCTCACACACACCTGAGGAAGGCAAAGAGAGGGTGAGAAAAGTGTACGTGAACTGATTCCCCCAGAGCTTCCTAATGAGGATTCCCTCTTGATAGTACGGGTACTCTACGACCAAAGAAAATAAAAACGTAGAGGACACGTCTTCGATCTTTTCCTTCGAGAGGTAATAGCAATCCGATGTAAGCCTAAGCATCGAGAACCTGAAACATATAGCACACGTTTAGACCACAAAGGGTTGTCATCATCATCCAAAACATAAAGTAGGGAAATGCCCTTTCACCTTTGAGTAGTTGCCTTCTGAAAGCCTTGCAAACACTAGAGAGCGCTGAAGCACGTTGATGTCATTGTGACAGCTGGCCATTACTGAAAAAAGAGTGCAGTCCAGAGATATTGTGAAGCCACAGCCTCAAGTATGACAGTGCAAGCTTTCACATGGCCCCTATACTACCCTTGCCAAACAAATGGACAATTCTTCCACTTCTGGTGCATACAATCTATGCTACCAAACATCCTCGGAAAAGCCCCTATCGACATTGATCGCCAACAACCGGGCTGTATCTGCAGCAGTTGTCTTTCTCAAGTACTCCGGGCCAAACACTACTACCACAACCTCGCATAACCTCTACATGGATTCTAGGCACGTGGACTCACTCATGCGTACATACTCATCAGATCACCGAGTATTCCATATGCAAGCATCAGAATAGCTGCAGTGCAGTTCTGACAAGAGAAGAAGCCAACCTTTCCCAGGGCATCCTCCTTGCATACGAAATAATCATCGCACGCCACCCCCCTCCCGGCTAGATTGAACACATGTCTAACCATCCAGAAGTGGTGTCGGAATAGGTTGTGTTTGAAGTGGGGAAGCGGACTTGAAGTAGTCCTCCAAGAGTAGGCAATGACCACTCGCTCTGTTGCGATTCAACGCCGAAGCAATGCCCCGGAAATCGAGCCCCTGAACATCGGCCGCTGGTTAGCAATGTGGTCATGAATGACCAAAGTGGCAACCACAATCTCCTCGTCGCCTGACAACGAATCATCTGAATCACAGATGAAGTTGTTGAAAAAGTACTCATCACCACTATTCATTTGTACCTGCGAGCGAAACGTCGAACACCTTGCGGGCACGGTGGAAGAAGTCGCCCGGTGAAGAGCCCCACGTCTCTCCCAGACCAAGCAGCAGGCCTATCGGCATGGAGGTGACCGCCGTTGCTGGTGGCGGCGGAGGCGAGGGGGTGAAAACAGTCCATCAACACCCGCAAAGAGCGGTCGTCGGGTGCGGCGTGCTGCGTGGGAGGTTTGTGGGTGCGGACGGCGGCCTGGGCAGCGTACAACTAGCCGGAACTGTGCGACAGTGTCGAGGGCGTGGTGGCCGGGAGTGTTGGTTGTTGATAGGAGAAGAGGGAATGACCTATGTGCCACTGACTGGTGGGCCAGGGAAGGACAAGGGCGGCCGTCGCTCACGTCCGCATCGATGCAAATCCGTTCCGAATTTAAATCTCAAATGGGACGCACGCGAAAGAAAAAAAAAACAGACGCGTGCAGACGGCATGTTGCGCACGCGGCAAGAGTGCTGTTCGCCGCAGCCAAAGAAAGTGACCAAACAAACCACGCTCGCGGCTCGTCTAATCCTCATCCTCCTCCCGCCTCCCAAACCGAGTCCACCAAAAGTTTCCCGCGCGGCCACGCCAAATTCCCCTTCTCCCCCACCGCTCGCGCCTCCCGCCCGGCCGAGCCCCCAACACAACGCCCGCCGCGCGCGATCTGCCGTCCCCGCCGTCCCCAGGCTCCAGCCGTGGCAGATCCGGCCCTGTCCCGCAGCGCCATTCCGTCGAACACTTCGCGCGCGGCGGCAGGAGGGCCTGGAGGAGGAGGCGCAGGATGTACGCGAGGCGCGCGTCGCAGCTGCTGAAGGAGCTCGACGCCTGCGAGCCCGGCCAGCTCGTGGTTTTCAACGTAATTCTTCGCCTCTCTACTCCATACGCGCTCGCAGTCCCTGGTCGCTGGCTTTGAATCCGGGTCCGCGGTGCTCTGGTTACCTTGATGCGTCTGTTTTAGGGCCCAATTTTGCCCAATCCGGTCTTGTTAGGTGTCTGTATGCGAGAAATTGGATTTATAAACTGTCTATTTTACAGCCCTACTATGGGAATTTTTATGTTCTACTAGCATCCTACGCGGTTTGTGTGCCAGCATGTGGATCTCCATACAAACCTTAGGGTTCTGCATCCTTGTTATATGTTAAATCGGAATTTCGTCTAATCTTGTTTGTCAGAGTATTATTTATCAGCAAGTGTTATGCGCCGCACCTGAACTGCACACAGCCTCAGTACAATTGTTAGTTATTGGTCCGTCTTGCAAAGGTTATGGCAACATCTGTTTACTCTGAAGTGCTTCACGCCACTCTTCCCTGTAATTGTGTGAGCCAACACATACCGGCTAAACTGTAAGGTTCATGATACCGAGTTCCATGATATTGCTGTTAAAGTATTCATTACTTGCGTGGATAATAAATTGTACTACCACCTTGACATCTTTAGGACAGAACTCTGGCATTAGCTGCAGCACTGTGTCATATTCTTGTACTGTTTGGGCAGTATGATTATGGTAGCTACAGTTCCTTTTCATTTGTCCATTATGCTGATCCCTAACTCGTTGTCTTACGGAATTTGCAGAGTGATGTATTTGATCAGGTCATTAGAGAGTGCGGTGAGCACAATGCACAGTTTCAGGCATTGATCAGGTACTTGCACCCTATTAGAATGTTGATGCTCATATAACCTCGACCTGTGAGTAACCGATTAATTTCACCATTTCATCAGCAAAATAAACTAACTGCATTGAACCAGCAGCATCCTTAGTTGCTATCCTCACATCAAAGTGTACAGACTATTCAAATGCCTGATCTGCTTTATGTTTATGACAGAAAAATGGTGGAGCAAAACTTAGACATTGAAACAACAAGAAACGAAGACCACTATGGTGCAGCTATCCACCATCTCTCGCTGCTCCGCAACAAAAGATGCCTCATGGCTTACA